ATGATTTTTTGGTCAAGTAAAAAGGTTCATGATCATGTAAGACCATAATAGTATGACTTTATTGGAGTTTCATTAGAAAAAATTTCTTAGTTTTTACATAAACAATTTCGGACGTGCAATTTTTGCAAGTTTTCTTTCCAATATGACCGCGATAATGATATAATGATCTGGCTATAATGCATACACAAATCACATATCATTTCTTCAGTCACAATCACTCGTTTTCAACCAAAGAGTAAAGCATTTTGCAATATTCAATTCACTTAAAATAAACCGAAAGATTGCAAGATTCATATTAACTTACCTGCCACTGCACTATACTACAGCTTTTCTTCACAAAATATTGATCAAAACAGAGGCCTGACGTCGAAACCTGCACATAGTTTTATGATCATTGTAACAACTGTGAAGGTCCTACAGCCATTTATAGAAACGTCGGTATACCCTCTGCCCCAATACATGGAAATATAGTATTTCCACTCAATTTCATGAAAATGACCTTCATCAAATACATAGGACTTAACATTTTTTTACCATTCACCCGCCAATTTAACAAGCAAGACGCCTCAAGACACCTCGAAACCAATTCTAAGCCCAATATAAATCCATAATAATTACTACGTATTACATTCTTGACTAAGGAGTTTGGAGTTGATATCTCAATGGTGATCATAGTTTATCACATACTTCGAAAGATCAAGGATGTCAATCATGTCAAAATCACTATTTTGCTTACAAAAATCATGATATACATTAATGCTTTTACCATAAACACATCGATTAATGATTCATTCTTTATGAAAAAAAAAAAAGGCACGGAGGAGGCAAAGACACGAATATGACAAGGATAAAACCAATAAACCTTAAAGTAGAGCTAGCTTCATCTTAAATCTTTAATCATCTATCAGTTTGAGCTTTTACTTGACAACAACTACTATCTCATTCGAATCCCCACTAAAGGCAGCATCTAGAGAGATTCACGTATATGCAACCTTACTTTCGAGTAGTGATAATAGTGATGGGAGAAACAAGCCAATTAGATTGGATTCTTTCTGTTTGAAGCATATTTGAAGATGAATTCATTTGTTTGGGTTTGAATTAGGCCATTGGTTCGGTTTGCTCAGGTCAGGTCATGTTCGAGTATTTTTCTTATAGCTTATAACATAACATTCGGATTGGATCAGTTCCAATCAACCAGCACAGAGCTAGAGAGGCGGTTTTCTCTGTTTCTACAAATAGTCTTGACATAACAAGCTAGCCCTACACCATAAAAAAAAACGTTTTTCTCTAAGGATCTGTTCTGATTTACTAAATTGAACTGATTGGAATTGAACTGAACTGAATTGTTTATCAGACTTTAAGGGCCTGTTCTCTTACGTTGAAATTCAGTTCAGTTCAGTTCAGTTCAGCTTAGTTCAGTTCAGTTCAGCTCCTAATTTCCTTGTCTTATAAAATATTCATTTCAGTTTAGTTTAGTTCAGTTCTGTTCAGCTGAGTTCAGTCAATGAGATAGGTCCTAATTAAGCACATGTAATAGATTTGTATGAACCTTCTATTAAGTACGTCAGTGGTTCTATAGAAACAGCTACAGGTTGTGAATGTTGGAAACAACCATAAATTATTAGTACATCATCATTATTATTTCCACTCTATGCATCATCTTAATAAACAAGTTAACATATATAAAATTTGCCAAACTTTAAACAAAACTCTCCTCCATTATAAAGTGGACATTAGACATTTCATAACTATAAACTTCTTCTACAGATTGGATAACTATACTACGCGTCAGCGAAATCTGGCCAATGGCAGAACAGGAAGCTTTTGTAATGGCAGGGCAAAAGGCAAACTACTGGTTAGTTTGTTTTTGATCTTATGGACTAGAAGAACGCCTTCAAAAAACAGGCAATCTTATTGATTGGTATATTTTTTTTTTTGCCATTTTGTTAAAGCCCCTAACAAAATTGACAAGTCTTATTTTTCAAGGGGATTAATAGCAAATAAGAAGGCTTGTTAAGAAGTTAATTACACGGCATCTTTTTGATGTTATTCATCAGTTTAGTTGATTTATTTCAAAGGTAATAGTTGAATTTAGCAAGTAATTCTCTGTTTATCTCCACTTACTTAGTGAGAACATGTATGACAACAAAAAGTTGAATCTGTCAATTACTTGAACGTAACAAAGACAATTTGTATTAGCTAAACAAATTAGTGAAATGGAGCTTTTTAACAACTAAAGATTATTGTTGCAAAGGAGTTGGAGGATCATGACTGACCTCATGTTTAGGCCCCATTACACAATTAGTTCAATTATTCGCGAAAATTGACTAAAATACCCTTGATGTTGGACTAATCAACCCATAGTAATACACGGAATAAAGTGAACAAAAAAATAACCCTTAAATAGGTGTACCCGGGAACAAGATAGAGGTGTTGCATAAGCATTACTTTTCTGTAAAACTAGAATCTCAACAAATTCTTACCCATGTTAATTCCCAAACTACCCTTTTACAAATGATACTAAATTATTCCTCCATTATCCATAATGGCATTACATCAGCAAGGGTTGTTTATAACTTGCATAAAAAAATATGCAATTATTTAACATGAAAAGCTAATTATTATGGTATTAAAATGACTAACATTGCTGCTGTCATCCTGCTCTGCTGGTCCATAGCAGACGACGACAGTTTCCCCTCTCCCTTTCCCCTTCTGTTGGTGCTATAGTGAATCCACTTCAGAGCTTCCTTCCTGCACATCATCATGAAGAATTAGGCACGCAACGGTTAAAATATCGGATGGAACAAGAAGTGGAATCCACAAACGAAAAATTCTGCTGCTTAATCCTAGCACAAGATAACGACTAGGCAGAAATCTCACATTATGTGGTGAAGAATACTTCAGGTGATTCAGTATGTTAATAATTAAATCGAACAATTAATTATATCATCCATAAACTTATTATATGCATTTGAGCAAATAGATAATGGTAACGTCTAAACTCATATAACTCGAAAGTACCTCAAACTAGATTATTATAACAGTCTGGAGCCAACTTAATTTCTTGTACATTAAAGAAGTCTTTTGCTGTTCATCAATCTGCTTCTTCTGCCTATGTAAACCGCACTTTGATTAGTATAACAATATCTGAAGCCTGAATGCAACTTCCACTAACACAAACAGCATCGTACTACCACATAAACTTAACTTAATCATTGTATGATTTGTATCAGCAAGAACTTCAGTCCATTTGTCGAGATTTGAAATTTGATATACTCAAATGTTTAGTAGCCTAATATTTAAGACTTAATCACAACATCCACTAACATAAACTACGTCGTGTTTCCACATAAAACATGCTTTACATTATAAGAATCTCCCAAATGTTTATTAGTTCATCAGTCGACATACTAAGCAGACTATTTATGTATTATTATGCATAGCCTAATAATATCCTCGACACAGAGGAAAGACAGAGAGAGAATCCAGTAGTCGCAGGGTTTCAGCATTCAGACATACATCTAACTGAACTCAAATGTTTAGTAGCCTAATATTTAAGGCTTAGCTTAATCGCAACATCCACAGTAAACATAATTTTAAACTATATGAATCTGCCAAACATATAGCAGTTCAACTGTAGAGATATAAGGAAGAGGAAAGACAGAGAAATTTAGTAACCACAGGATTTCAACATTCAGACATCTAAGTAAACTAACGGATTGCTAAGAGCTAAATAAATCTATGTCTCTGTACAAATTTCAGGTTTGATATTCTGATATGTTTTGAAAAGTTTCAGTACTTTTTGTTCAAAATGAATTGTCAATTAGATATATGAATATATGATACATGTTGAATGTCGAGAATCCTACACAGATATGAGGTACGGGTTTGCTTTGGACACCATGTCAGTACTCAGGCCATATCTTTTACACCAACTGTTGGATTGTGCAACTTGGCTAGTTGCCATTGTGCTAAGCTGAATCGAATTTTTGGATTTTAAACGTTCATTGCATCTGATACTTTCAAAACACTACATCTTTAGTTTTCCCCACGTAGGGCAGGGCTGAAGACGGAAAATTTTCAGACTGATGGATTACAGTTATCCACCAGTAGTTAGTTCAGCTAATAAAACAAAAGTTCATAAGCTACTCATAATAGACAATTCTTGTCATGTCGAATTTGGTGCAGAGCTGCGTTCAAAAAACTTATACAGAGAAAATTTATCTCAAATTTAGAAAGGAACAAAAACAATCTAAGAGACTTTGATCAGTTTAATGCATGGTTCACTACACATTTAAAAGGGCTAAAGCCTAAAGTATCCAGCATGATACATCAGTTGTCCAATTAATCACTGGTCTTCAAATAAATTTAAGTGTCAAATAGCCTGGTTTAGTCAATATGGTAAAAATAAAGTTACAATTTCTTTTATCTGTAATGTCTGATTATGTTCTATAATGATATCAAATCCGGTAACCAATCACCAACTGTGTCCTAGATAGACAACCGTTCTTGTACTGTATCTATTGTCCTTAGAGTCTGAACATAGCCCTAAAGTGACGCATACCCCATATCTTATCCAGCTAGTAGCTATCTTCGCCTTAAAAAGATCTCTAGTCCTGTAACTCAAGAGATATGACCTCGTCCTGCAGAAATCTCCATTTCTTTAGGGGCCAATGTTACATTGTAAATTCCGAAAGGAGGGACAAAGAAGCAAAGAATTTGAATGGTGTCATTTCTTACAGTCATGACGATTATTTAGCCAATTATAGCTATACATATTGATGGATTAGACCTCATGAGGTTGAGCAATATTGGACCATCATGATGGAATGTCCAAATTCCATACAAAAAAACGTGATCACCATTTTTTTTAACTAATTGTTTCTTTCAAAAGATATATTATGAGACATCTACAACTAAAATCTTAATGGAAAGCACAAGCATTATTGTCGCTTGCCAAATTTTGTTTTCTTTGTAACTTTTTTTTTTTTTGACGGGAATCTTTGTAAGTAACTAAGTATAGTATAAAATCATATCAAAGAATACATTGATCAAGCATTAAGAGTCAACAACAAAACCCACAAAAGTAAGATTTGAAACTAAACCTCATTGTATGAATACAGGATCATAAAATGCACTGATGAAAGTATTATACCTCATTGTGTAGTAGAGTACTCCTGTTTACAACTTACGAGTTTGCTCACCAAGGTTGTTGGACAGTCGAACAACCTGGAGATACCATTGCGACTTACCCTGATAACATATTGTTCCGTTTAACTAATCACAATTTTTTTAAGAAAAACCAATACTGAAGAGAAAGAAATTTTACACTCATATCTACAAGGAAAGATATACTTTGTATGTAAGATTAGATTAACATAAGTACATAACTCACCAATCTCGGAGATTAACAAAACAACTTATTGCCAATCTCGGAGAGTAACTAAGACTTTTGAGGGAGAGGAAAAGGGTTTATATAAAAAAAAATGTGTGATTACCGTTAATAACTTTGAAGAAATTTCCCTCCATTTTCCCGCCCAAATCTCTCTATGAATCATTTGCCATCTTCATATTTCTTTAGAACCCTAAAAATTCACCCACATTCTAAAATTCATGCAGTGGTTGCAAAGAAACCGATTCGTCTGCTATACCCAGATTTCAATACTACCCAACTCTTTTGCCTATTTCTCATCATCACATAATCATTCAATTAAAGATCATAAAAATTACCATGATCATTATCTTTCTCCTCTGAAAAACTTCCCTTCGTCGCGATTTGTTACCCAGCAAATCCACTCTCAATTAACAACCAATGGCTCATTCAGTCAATTCCCAAATACCCAGATCATAATTCTGTTCAACACCATTTTGAGACGTTACGCCTTAGGTGAATTTCCGCAGGAAGCTCTGTTTCTGTACAAACAAGCACAACAATCAAGTACATTGTATCAGTACTTTGATAGTTTTACGTACTCGTTTCTCATCAAAGCATGTGGCAATTTGAAGCAACAAATTACGGGTTTTCAACTCCATTCCCTTGTTGTGCAATTGGGTTTTGAGTTGGATGTTTATGTGCAGACTGCATTGCTGAACATGTACATAGATTTTGGTTTGTTGAGTAATGCAGATAAGATGTTTGATGAAATGCCTGAAAGAAATTTGGTTACTTGGAATGTGATGATCACTGGGTTGGTTAAATGGGGTCACCTTGAGGCTGCTCTTGCTTTGTTTAGGCAAATGCCTAGTAAGAATGTTGTTTCTTGGACTGGTATGATTGATGGGTTTACGCGAATGAAGAATTATCTTGGAGCTTTTTCGTTGTTTCGGGAAATGATAATGGTTGGAGGCATTATGCCTACTGAAGTTACATTGTTGGCCGTTTCTACTGCTATTGCTGAACTTGGGGATCTAAAGAATTGTCGATTATTTCACTCCTTCAGCGAAAAAAGTGGTTTCAGAGAAAATTATAATCAGGTCACAAACTGTCTTATTGATGCTTATGCCAAATGTGGGTGCATTGAAAGTGCATTGAGGGTATTCGAGGAGATGTTTGCGTGTAGAAGAAATGTCGTGTCTTGGACATCGATTATATCTGGGTTTGCTATGCATGGCATGGCAATAGAAGCTGAACAATTCCTAGAAAGAATGGAGGGTTCAGGGATCAGACCAAACCGAATTACTTTCTTGAGTGTTCTTAATGCTTACAGTCATAGTGGATTGGTAGAAGAGGGGATCCGGTTCTTCAGAAAAATGGTTGATCATGGCTGTGTTGCAGCAGACATAAAGCATTATGGGTGTGTGATTGATATGTTGGGACGAGCAGGCAAGCTAAAAGAAGCAGAAGAAATTGCCTGGCAGATTCCTAATGACATTGATGATGTTGTGATTTGGCGTACTCTTTTAGGTGCATGCAACTTTCATGGTGATGTTGAGATAGCTGAGCGTGTATCAAAGAAGATGCAGGATATGGAAAGAGAACATGGAGGAGACTACGTTTTGATGTCAAACATATTGACAGGTCAGGGAAAGTTCAATGAAGCTCAGAATGTAAGGACACTGATGGATAAAAGGCAGGTTCTAAAAATTGCAGGCCATAGTTCAGTCTGAGCTTACAACTGCAGCACAATAAACCAGGCAGCAGAGCACAGACTAGCGAAATTTCCTTTTACAGTATCATTTCATATGAGGAGATAACAATGGCACACTGCTGCAGCACGTTGCCTAGCAGGGTCTGTAATTTTTGTACTCGCCTTTGGATTTCCTTCAAATCGAATAAAACAATGACCCAGCCCTTTTATTTCAGTTCAAGCCTTACGGCAACGCATTATACAGAAAGGAAAAATGGGACACATCTCATTTCAGAACAAGTGTTGAAAAAATAACATACAGAGCACATCTCACAATATGGGTTAATGGTACAAAACTACAGAACAAAAACGTTGTTATGCATGTGTATAATTATTAAATTTTATGGAAAAAGAACAAAAAGGTGTTCAGATTAAATGCACTTATCTTCCTATAGAGTTGCCTCCTGTCATTAACAAAATAACTCACTACATCTACAGTTATGTACACCGGGAGAATCCCTGGTAAAACTGGTCTTCTCCGTAAAGCGTATATCAATGAAGTGCAGATATGATTCCAACCATAGGTCTGAAAAAACTCACTCTAGGCTAAGCATATGCACAATTGCAAACCTCCGGAGTTCAGCAATTGGGAAGAACAAAATCCAGGGCAATAGTTCACCAATTGTGCAACTGAGATGTAATGCTTTTAACCACAGGATGATATTGTGTGTGCAGGTATTTCTTAGCTTTCTCAGAACCAGGTTTCTCAAGCCACTCTTCATATAACCCTTTCGCGACGGGATTTTGAAATGGATCAGCAACCAAAACCTGCCAAAACAAGGATCAGCAATCAGAGATGTACCTAAACGACAAAACTTATCAACCAAAAATGCTATCTTCCAACTTCAATGTCATCTCTGCAAGCAAAGACAGAAATTATCAATAAGCACTTAAGTTAAAAAAGTGTGAAAAAGGTACCATTGAGTGACCAATTCTAGCAAGCAGGGTCAAACATAAACACATAACATATATTTTTTCCCATGTTAGATTCTAAGCTACTATACAGTCATAAACGGATAAACCAGGAGAACAATATGTGGGTATTCGCATTAAGAAATGAGACTTCCTTCCACAGAAATTTCTCATGCCAACTAGGAGGTCAGCAACAAAAAAAATCAAAACATTATGGCAGCATATGAAACTGAAGGTCAATGTGTATGCATGCACTGTAATTTGTTCCTTGTCACACTGCAAATACATCTTATTGTAAGAGATAAATCTAAAGCATTCAAGAACAGTTCAAAATAGCAATGAAGTCCTTACATTCTCCAAGTAAACACTTTCCAATTGCTGAATCAAATCTTTAGCAGACTGTCCTGGCTTCGGCTTGATTTGACCACCACCGTTCAAGCAACCTGCAACCCAAAAGATTATCCAATTTCAGTCCCAGTTGATCTAATTCCAAACCAGATGAAATAAAAACAAGATGAGCAAGAACACAATTCTAACCTGAAGGACATGCCATGATTTCTAGATAATCATAATCACATTTTCCAGTTTTGATTTTCCTTACTACATTCTGCAGATTTCGAAATCCATAACATAAGGCAAACTTTAAGACATTTTTTCCCTCAACCTGCAACACAAAAACATTAGTGTCAATCTTTTTACATAGGAAAATTCTCCAAATGAAAAATCAGAACTCAAGAATCCCCACACAATCGCAGAGCTCAGTACATATAGCAAATCAATGCATACATGAAGAAAACAGCAAAGTAATACTTGTAGCAGCAATGGGATATTGTGATAATTCCACAAGTCAGAATGTAAAAGGACCACGCTGGACTGGAAAAAAGGAAGATTGTCACACAGATTCTCGTATGGTACTCATCCTAACTTATCTGGGACTTTTACATTTTAGCTCAGTCTAGGTCCAAAACCAGAAGATACACAAAATTGATCGATGGACCAAATTCTTGTATCTTAAGCGATAATGAACATGATGGCATCTCCATTGAAGAGAGAGGAAGAAAAACAGAACAAGCGGAGGAAATGACTCAAACTCGACAGGCAACAGATAAAAGAGGATTGAAGAAGGAGATAGGCGAGAAGATGATCAGGGGAGATAGTATTGGAAGAAACTTGAGGGCTGAGGCTTCATTATCTCAATAGTGTAATTAAATTCCATCCAGAAAAGGGTTTTTATACAGACTTTCCATAACAATAAAATTCTCAACCAATAAAGCACATATCAACTATTTCATAAAGAGATAACTGCAAGCTATTCAAGATTCTGAAGAAACCTCTTCAGTTGCCAAACAAAGTTACATGCAGTTGGTTAAGTTTGCATAAAGATTCCTGAGATTAGAAAGAGAGATCTTACTTCAAGAATAACTTCACGGAAGTCTGAATTCCTTATCATTCTGAACTCTATAGGTCCCTCAATGTCTTTGTCAAAAAGAGCCTTTGCTGCATGCCTAAAAATAGTTTCAGCATAGCCCCCAGAACCTCCATTGACTCCATACAGATATCCATCATCAGTAATATTTGTCAACCTAAAGGTGGTAATTAAAGATTGTACACCATCAGTAACAACTACAGCTATGAGCTAAAATCCACAGACTTTAAAGCATCAGCCACAAAAGTTAGTTGATTCTTACATCTTATCTAGAGGAGATTCGTCCAAGGAGCTAAAATCCACAGACTTTAACTGTCACCAAAAAAAAAATTTAAAAAAAAAAAAAAAATCAGTAACATAGGAGTCATTACAATCAATAATATGAAATGAAACTAGCTGCTGAAACTTTTTTTTGTACCTGTATTAGTTCCAAAACCTCTCCAGAGGTCAACACAGAATCCACCTCTGCTACCCCTAGATCACTGGGAATATTATTTTCATCTGGATATTCCATTTCAAAAACAAAGTCTTCTCTCGCAGCCTCAAGCTTCTTGTCATAACAAGGCATCACAGTGACATGATAAACTTCATCTGGCCTGTTTATAACCCATTAATCCACTGAGAGAGAAATGACAAGAAAATCAAAAGTTTTTTTTAATGTTATGTTTAACTATGCCATAGAACCAAAGAATATTGGTTTCTTATGGAGACATGGGCCTAAAGTTTAAATTACCTCAAAGACATTTTCTGGCAGAGGTAGCGCTTCAAGACAGCCCCAATTGTTTGCTGAGGGCTCTTTACGGAAGAGATGTAAGGTAAGATGTAGGATCCAAGAGTTTTTTCTGCATAGCAGATCCAACCTGGAAGTTTCAAAGAAAAATAGGTAAATTCAAATGAAGAAAGCCTTCAAAAGTAAAGCTAGCCCTTTCTCTTTCTTTCTTTTCATTCCATGTAATTTTTCTCTTTCTTTCTATTCATTTCTACATATTTCCTTTTCTTCAATCTTATTTCTTCACCAGGGGCCGGGGGATGTTGGTGAGCAAAATATATACCTGGACAAGCAGATGAAATTATTGGCAGTGATGTCTTACTCCCATCATCATCCCCAGACTGCCTTTGCTTATAGCGTACCATAAATTCATTACATGCTTCTATAAGCGCTAAATCTCTACTGCAGCTGGTGTCAAAAACAGCCTTCACTCCAAGGGACTTAAAAAATGTTGTGAGCTTCTTAAAAGCCTGAAGGGAAGAAGAAACATGACCTCAGCAAAAGGTGAAAATGTCAAACTAAATGCAAAATTAACCCAAACCTCAGCATTCAATCATCCATGATTTTCTAGAAGCGGGCAAAGGAGAATCTAAAAGAAATCTGAGCTGCAAATTTTAAACTACTCGTCTCTTTTTAAGCACTACATCGTCAAACAACGGGTAAAACATAAAAAGGTATAGGCAACATGGAAGCATAACTTCAATGTAAAGTCAAAACACCACCAGTCATCCAGTCTACATCACACTTCTCAATAAAGTGCCACGTTTACAAAAGAAGCACTAACAAGTCATCAAGAGTCATGCCTACATGAAGTCTGTGTCTGAATCAAGTTGTTAAGAATCATGTTTCCAGGAAATCTAGCAAATCAACAGTATTGAATATTAGAAGAAAATTTAAGGTCAGATGATTATATGGATCAGGATGAACAATGCAATTACAACCTACCCACACTTCAAGGGGTGGGAATGTAGGGTTTCTCCTACTGATTGTTTCCCTCACTTCTTACTGTAAAACTCTCATACATGGCTTTTCTACCCTTATCTACTTTCCTTGCAAGGGTTGTAACTAATAAAGCTATACATTCCCAACTTTATCCATGGGATTCCTTCTAGAATAGTCAAGAAACATAAGAGGCCTAGGCTGGTTTGTTGCACATGTGCTGACTCTAGCCCTGTCCAATATACCAACTCCATCTCTAACCCTAAAAAATATTTCCATTCTCTTTTGTTGTAGAGTTACCTACAACTGGAAGCATACTAGGGAGCTTAATCCAAAACTGAAAGTTGGAGCAGCTGAGCCATTGAATACAAAATGCTCCTTTCTTTACCACAAATGTTTCCTGCTTTTAGCCTAATAAGTGATTCACCCTCAAATTTAAACGCAATACGAATTTCTATCGAGGCCAAGAGAAAACAAAAAAGGAGACGCATTATTGTAGCATGCTTGGAAAAAAGTTTCGTGGGTCACACTCCTTCACATCTAAATTCAAACATGTTCAATTGATGGATGGCTTTAACATTTAGATCCCAACAATCATGACTTTAAATTGTTTAACCTTTTCAAAACAATTCACATATTACATACCTCATAGTTTCACTATATCATAATTAGTTTATTACCTTGCTCAAAAGAAGGTAATTTTATATACTCCCTCTATTCCCAAAAGTTCGACTTACTTTCTATTTTGAGATGTTTCAGACAGTTCGGCACACTACTTTTAATCCTCTTTGGAAAACCTCTATTACCCCACAAAAATTACACCTTTTTACCCTCTCTCTTACTTTATTCACTTTTTCTTAATACCCACCCACCTATTCACCACATCTCTTTTATAACGTTCACTGTTTTCTTACACCCACTCGCTTTTTCCATGCATTACTAGAAACAAGAGTGTAGTAAGAAAATTGTACTTTTGAGAATATTTGTAACAAGCAATATAATTTATCAAGCCAGGTATTGTAGCTACTGAATAAAATTAAAAAATACATCATTATTTGCTTCACAGCATTCTGTGATAGGAATACAAGATGTCTTTTGAAGCTTAAACTCTTTTTCTTAATCAAAGCAA